TAAAAGGAGAGAGAGGGTGAGAGAAAGGGAGAGAGAGCGAATTATAATTCAGTAACATACATTATTCTGTTCTTTCTTTCTCTCTTTGTACTTTAAGGGTATTTTCAACCGTTTTAATAAAAGGAGCTGTAATATAAGTATTATAACCTGCAGTCATTAGGGTTCATCCTCTGGGGACCATGAATGTCATCATCTGTTTGGACCAAACGTGGACAAACCAATAGAGAGCCACTGCTAGCGTGGCTAAAAGTGACTTTAACCCAAGTTATGTAATTACAAAACAAGCAGAATATAATCAGAGATGGAAGGAGTGCCTTTTGGTTTTGGTTCCTCTGTGTTTTCATGATATCGGTATTGAAGGTATAACGTTTCACTTTCTCACCCTCCGGAGTAAAACATGACGTCCATGAGCAGCGTGGCTACAGAGGGCAGCGTGTCCGGGTCCAGGCTGGTCACACAGAACATGTTGCTGGGACTAGATAAAGGGTGAATGATGGGACGGGGCGCTGGAAGAACAAGAAATATAGTATATTATACGATACGTGAGCATTGAGCTGCAGTAGAATTTAATAGGTCAAAATGTAGATATGGGAAGAGGACTTTTTTGGGGATTACTGTTAAATGGGTCCTGAGTGTCACCATTCTTTAAAAACTTTCTTCTATACAAAAGTTAAACTCATAAATGTTCGTTCTCTCTTTCAGGCCTACCTAGTTTGGGCTTCACGAAGCCGTTGGTGACTCCGAGGTCGTGAGTAGCGACGGTCTCTCCGTTCACCACCCGAAGCAAAGTGAACTCTGAAGACAGCGTGTGCATGACCATCGGCAGGTCTCGCTCTCGGACCTGAGGACAAAAGAAACGAGGCAGTGAGTTGAGAACAAATGTTGCAGATATATGTGCATCGTATCTTTTCAAGGCATTTGATAATAGAATGTCTAAAAGTCTGCACATCATTTGTGGATGATCGTTGCACGATAGCAGGAAAGAAATCGTCCTGCAGGTTCTGCGTCCTGTTTTGTATCTCGTTGGTTTTAATCTGTCTCGGTTTGTGTCACGGTTTAGAGACGGCCATGAGGATACATCAGCAGATACACATCGTTGTTGTTGTTGTTTGTTGTTACAGCAGCTGGTCTACAAGGCTCCAGACTTTACTATTTGCACAACCCTCCCAAAAATTATTTTTAATTTAATTAAATTTATATTTTTATTCAGTCAGTTTAAATCATCAAAAATTATGAATTATATCCTTTTACTTTGTTACAGTCATCTTTAGCGGTTATCTGTATTAAAACACACAATTCAAATGATTGGAACTAAAATCTTGGTATTATTAGTAGTTTTAATAATATATTATAAGCTGTTTAGAGCTCGTGTTAGGACGTTAAACAGCTCATAATTCATCTCTAATATATCATTTGTATCGCTGTGAAAACATCTCCTTCAAACAACTGTATTTATTCAAGTTTCCCACCAAAAACTACATTTTACCTTCAGTACCGATAGTCATTATTACCAAAAGAGAGCATGAACGCATCAAATGAACCCACATATAAAAGATGCATTTCCTTTTATTTAAAGAGGGATTTCTTTCATTGAAGGTTGAATCAACATTATATCTGAATGGTTAATGGTTGATGGTTGATGGTTATCTTCTGAAAATGTGGACATCAAATGGACTGAATTAAAGCTCAGCAAACATATAAATCATTTCATAAATAAATATAAATTGCTTCGACACAATACAAACCAATAAAGATTCATAATACGCATCTTTTATGTCTCTGATACAAATGTGAACTCTGGAGCCGGTAAAAAAAAAAAAAAAAGAGTAACAGAGTGTTTCCTTACCGAGGGTGACAGCTATTACGTCAATTGAATTTGTGTGTGTGTGTGTGTGTGTGTGTGTGTGTGTGTGTGTG